ACTGAGTTGTGAAGTTTTATCTCCTCTTACAGACATCTCAAAAACCAACTCTCACCTAAATTTACTCAGTTTATGTACTATGGTGGAGAAAATGAAGGAACAGTTTTTTAAAAAGAATGGAAGAAAGAAAGAGAGAGAAAGAAGAGAGAGAGAGAAAGAATGAGAGAGAAAAAGAAAAAGAGAGAAAAAAGAAATTCTGACACATTCTACATTGCAAGCACTCCATAAATGATAGTGGTTATTATTATTTGCAATGGTGTTATGGCTATTTTAGTATGTGTCATGTAGTTAACATACTATAACTATCAGCTAATCCTCCTCTTAACTCTTATAAAATAATTATGGCAATCTTTATTTTACAGGTGAGAATTTGAAGACACATTGAGATTATGTGACTTGCTTTGAGTCATTTAACTAGCAGTTGAACCTAGTTCTATTTGACCCGAACTCTCATAGTTTTTTGCTCTATCAGTGTCCTCCGTTTTAAAGACCTAGAAGTCCTCTGTCTAGGACAGCAGGTCACTAGACAACTATTTGGAGAATAGTACACATAGGGATGACCCACTCAACTCTTTGTATGAATTCTCAGTACTTGTTTTCAGACCTCTATTGGTCTCAGCCATCGAAATCCATCCAAGAAAACCAACCTGTAATACTAAACAGAGAGGTGGACCAGAAATTTGGAAGTTTTCATTTAGCTACAATCAGTCTCTGAGACTTATCAGCCATGTGACTTTGAGTAAACCCATTTCTTTCTCCACTCCAATTTTCTCATAGTGAAAAAAAAAAAAAAGAATCCTTCAGACCTTCCAAATCAACAATATTATGACTGAAAATTCTCAATCCTTCTTCTCAGTCATCAATGAAGTATTAAATTGTGTTTAAGAAAACATGTAAGTGTTCAACACATTTAGAGTGTTTTACCTTCAAACTTTATTAAATTTCACGAAAACTTCAGTTAGTTGGAAAGAAACTGACATGAAACAGTTGCTTCTCCTAAAATGGCATTTTTTAAAATGCCAGTCTCAAAAGGCAAAACTATGGAGACAGTAAAAAGATCGGTGGTTGCTAGGGATTAGGGGAAGGGAGAGATAAAAAGGAAGAGAACAGAGAATTTTTAGGACAGTGAAACTACTCTGTATAATCATATAATGGAAGATGCATGTCATTTTACCTTTGTCCAAACCCATGAAATATACAGTGCCAACAGTGAACCCCAATGTAAACTGTTAACATTGGGTGATAATGATGTGTCAATGTAGAGTCATCAACGGTAAAAACACACTACTCTGGCAAGGGGTGTTGATAATGGAGGAAACTGTGCATGTCAGGGGCAGGGAGAATATAGTACATCTCTGTACTTTTCCCTCAATTTTCCTGTGAACCTAAAATTGCTCTAAAGAAGAGTCTCTTTTTTGAAAAATACAAGTCTCTATTTTTAAATCTTGCCTGGTTCTATTAACTTTGGGAGGTCATGGAATCCCTTTTGTAAGTTGATTAGGCTATGGAGCTTTCCCCCAGAGTCTCGAAGCCCATTTTCACGCCCTCTGCTGCAGATTTACAATTTACAAGCCAGGAAATGATTAGATGATTGTGAACTATTTAACTTTTCACTCATCATCATGCTCTTTTAACTCTAAAACTCCCTGGAGCTGGAAGATTACACTGTTGACCACTACAGAGAAATGAGAGAATATGAAGAAAGGAAAGAAGTTATTGTAATGAGGCTCTATCAATACAAGATTACTCAAAGATCAATATTGAATACTTCCAAAAGCCCATAGATGGGATGGGGAGGGGGTTAAAGGGGACCAGAATCCTGTTTACAATACATTCAATTTATATGTTACTTTTCTGGATTGTCTAGTTATACATTGCAAGATCAAGCCATATTATATTCCAGAACCAGGGTATAACAGATGTGTCTTTATTTCACAGAGAGGTTAAGAACATCTCCAAAGCTGCATAGTGAGGCAAACAAAAAAATAAAATCCAAATACAGCCCGAGTACAGTGGATCACACCTGTAATCCCAGCTCTTTGAGAGGTGGAGGCAGGAGGATTGCTGGAACCTAGGAGTTCAAGACCAGCCTGGCCAACATGGCAAAACCTCACCTCTACAAAAAATACAAAAATTAGCTGGGCATGGTGGTGTGCACCTGTAGTCCCAGCTACTTGGGAGGCTGAGATGGGATGACTGCTTGAACCTGAGAGGTTGGTGCTGCAGTGAGATGTGATTGCACCACTGCACCCCAGTCTAGGCAACAGGGTGAGACTGTGAGAAAGAAAGAAAGAACTAAGTTTATTTTATTTTTAATAATAAATATTAATAATAATCAGGTCATCAAATTCCTGCAAATTTAACAATTGGCTTTTGCAAGCCAGTATGATTCAACTCCAGCACACAACTGGTTCCATCCCTCCCTTGAAGTATTCAGGTCAAACCTGAAAGTAACGCTGAGGAAAGGATGTGTTCCACTCTTAGATGACAGAATATATCAGTATGACCTCTGCTGTCTCTTCTAAAGTTAACATTCCTTGATCTATACTAACAAATGTGTCCTACTTCATATGCAATTCATGTCTGAGATAGAACCCTGACCAAGACCTTGACTCTGGACATAAAATCAAGACCCCAGATGTTCACGGGGTTGAATTGCATGGACAATGACCACATCATTTCTATCTTCTTTGCATTTAGATCAAATTTAAAGGCAAGGGGGTAGATAAACAGAATAAAACTAATATTGTGTAATTTTTTATTACAAAAATCTTACATCATGAAATTTTAAGGAGGTCTTTGGTGAGCCATCAAGATGATACACTGAAGGTGTTACCAATGAAAAGTGCCTTGTTCTTAAGCATCTAGGATTCCATAATGCTCTATTATTTGCTTGTATTTTGTAAATGTACGTGCTTTTTTTCCATTGACCTCCTCATTTGAAATGTGGTAGGCGTTTCCTTCTGCATGCTTCAACACCATAGACTCGGGGAATCTCTTACCTCCTGATGTTTCCGGAACAGAGAACGAATAGTGTCCAGCTTTAAATACAGGGCTGAAGTCATTGGCAGGAGCAACCTTCACAATGATGGTCACAGTTACTGTAAAATTGAACACTGAATAAATGCTTTGTTGTTATAGTTTTATTCCACAAACAAGCTCCCCATGCCCCCATGAACAGGCTTAGCATGGAATTTTGAAACTGGAATGGGATTCCCTCTCCTCCCAAGTAATCCCTCCTCCCAGATTCTGCGTTCTCAAGGAACCCAAATAAATTTTGGTGCTAGCCAAAGCAATTTATTGAAAAATACATAAAGTATTGCATGTCATATTTTATTTTATATAGTAGAAATATGCATGTATTTACATACATCATTTTAAATATATAACTATATATTTCACACAAGATAGTTTATTGTATTTTTCATGGGTACAATCTCCTCCATTAAAGAGTTTGTTGGGGTGTCACTCTCAACCCAGCATATGACATTCTCAATCCTGCTTTTAATATATGTCCTAGAAAGTGGAAGGGAAAGAGACTCAGAAAATCATGTTCAAGGCTCAGCCTTGAACATACACAATTGTTCCTCAGTATACATGGGGATCGTTTCCAAGGCCCTGGCATATAACAAAACATGCACATGCGCAAGTTCTGCAGTCAGCTCTGCAGAACCTGTGGATAAAAAAGGTTGGCTCTCTAATATTTGCAGTTTTCGCATACTAAATACTATATTTTGGATCAGCATTTGGTTGAACAAATCTGTATATAAATGGACCTTCACAGTTCAAATCCATGTTATTCATGGTTCACCTGTACTCTGAGGCCTTCGACTAGCTTAATTTTTCCAAGGCTCAGTTCCCTCATCAAAGAAATAAAAGGAAGAACATCAATTTCAATCTCCTACATCACAGTGTGGGCATGAAGACAAAATGAGATCATGCCCAAGAAGGTATGTTTAAACTATAAGAGGTTAAGTAAAAAGAAGTTATTAAATTGTATTTACTTCAGCCAAATGTTTGTATAATGTGTGTTATCAAAAATACTCTGTATTTCAGACGAACAAGCTTAAACTATCATAACAAAGTTGTCAAAAAGAAGGAATTTGATGTCCCAACATAAAAGCAAGAAACTTGCAAACAGGGAACATTTTTAACAGAGGTAAAATAATAATTAACATTTACTGTAAAAGTTGCTGACTTGCCATTGGTATTATTGTTCCCATTTCACAGGCAAGAAAACTGAGGTTCACAGAGTTAAGTTCTTAGACAAAGATTACAAAACTTGTAAGTCACTGAATGAGTATTAAACCAAGCTATGTCCACCAGCATCTCCCAAAATATCTTCATTGAGATGCGAATGTGTCAAATGTAGAATCCTAATTAAACAGTAAAATATTTCTTTCTGGCAATACTTCTTCGGCTTTGTAATATGTCACTAGGTATTATAAACATCCAGGTATGCCTTGCTTCTCTAACTTATTTTACCACAGAATTCTTCCTTAGTGGATTATCTTGTAGAATTCATGTTCCAAAGAATGTGGGTATTGCCTCTGCTGAAAATCCACGCCATGTGTGTCAAACAAAAAAATTTAATCTGGGCTTCATAGAACCTTTACTTCAGGGAATCTGTGACATTCATTGTATTTTGGTATGTGTTGTTACGTGCAATTTTCGAGGGATAGGATTCACAGCTCTTAACAGAATCTCAAAGGTGTTCATGCCCTGCAAGAAAGATTAAAAGCACCATTCCACGAAGACAGGCGATTTACATTAAAGCCTCTATATTTCCTACAATGAATGCCATTTATGTGTTGCAAGAGCATATGCCATTTATATCTCTGCCATGATTTTTACTGCATCCATAAACACTCAAAACTATACTAATTGGCTGGCCTGCAAAAATGTACTGAACCACTTGCGCCGCGTTGCAAGCATCCTTTATTCACATCCTTTGAATGTGTTGGGTGTGAAGAGAACTAGAGAGAACGGGAATTTATTACTGTGAGAAATGCCTTTCCTCTTCAGTATTGGGGAAAGGCTCAAATCTGGTGAGAGGGAAAGATTCTTTTTTGATTAGAAAATCAATGTGAGCAGCTGCAAGGAAAAGTATCCATCCTGAAAGGTCAGTTGGGCTACAATATAGGCTTCTTGCATGAGAACACAAGTTAGCAACACAGAAACCACAACTAGAATACTTCTGGGCATAATGTCATGCTAAAGTCCCTGTCCCTTAAACATCACCTTTCCACGTGGTTGGGTAATTTAAGTATATAAATCACCTTTGTAGACTTAGCCTCATTAAAACTCTTCTATCAGTGAGTCAAGAGGGACTTAATGAGCCCTAGATGTGTTGCAAACATATTAAGTTTAGCATTAAGTTCCCTTTGGTTGCAAATGTATAGATCATCACTCCACTTTTATCCATCCATGACAGACAAAGCACTCTTTCTCATTGCTCTCTGATGCAATCTCAGAATCCTTTTCAATGATCCAGCAATCACCACCAATGATTCAGACTTCTCACAAGAGAATAAACTCAAATGCCACCCCATTCTAGGCTCTCCTTTACCAAGAGCTGACATTCTACTACTAAACTTATGTTTGCAACCCAAACACCCACATCGTATATCTTTGATGCTAACCACCTCCTCGATTACCTATTATCATATTTTCCAAATACAATAGATGCTTGACCTTAATAACAAATGTATCCAGAAAATTTTGAGAATTCCTATTTTCACAAATACCTCTATAGCCAACAAATTCACTCTTAAAATCCTAACACGTAGGTGGATATGTAAATGACCCTTTGGGGCACTTGTATGTTCTGATGTGTAGAATAACAAGCAAAGGGAAGCAGGTGTCAGGTGTTTAACTAAACTGGGCCTCTCTCTAAGTACTCTGCTTTAGATCTATAGCTCCCAATTCAAATATGTACCAAAGAGTGGTTCACAATGAGCAAAACTACAACTGTTAAATCCACAAATACCAAGCGTTTTATGATCATACAACCTGGGTGGACTTAATCTCACTGTGCCAAAGACTCATTTTAACACAGGCTGACCCAAAATGGTGGGATAGTTATGAAAAGACCAAATGGCAGAGAGGCGTAACCATGCCCCGCACCTCCGTGAAGGGCCTGAGCTGTGGAACTTGGCAAGTAACTCACAATTTGCTTTAATATGGCTTATATATATATATCATACAAAATAATTCAAATAAAATACTTTTAAAACATCCTATTATCTATATGTTCAGACTACATGTTGCCCAATATCTGGCTCTTTTCAGATGAGAAGTGTCTGGCATTACTAGGCATAAAGTCATTCCAGTGTAAAGCATAAGAGTTAGGCCTACATATCACCTGCCCCTTCTACCTCCAAGGATCTCTAGCCAGAGTGGTATTTACAAATTGCGTATTCCTTAAGGCATTGTTAAGAGGCAAAAGAGACTTCCCAGGTCTAATGAAAACTTCCAACATGAGTCTACCTAATTCTTCCCTTCCTCCTTCACCTAACTTCACAAAACTGCCTCATGTATAATGAATGTTTACATTTTAAAATCTAAATTGAAAAGTCTAAAGCACAGACACTTACTGCTTCTTGAAAAGTTTATCCAGATTACCTGTATGGGAAGGACGTAGGTCATCAAATACTGAAATCATCATTTCATAGGTATGTCCAGCTGCAATTATCTCTGGGTCTTCATAGTCCAGGTTTTTAGCAACCTTGTAAAACAAGATTATTTCAGTAAAAATGACCAAATTTTTTAAATGTACATGTTTTCTGTTTTGATTTTTTAAGATGGGGGTCTCACTATGTTCCTCAGGCTGTTCTCAAATTCCTAGGCTAAACAATCCTCCCACCTTGGTCTTCCAAGTAGCTGGGATTACAGGAATGTGTCCCTGCACACCCACCTAAATGTACATGTTTCAAGTAATACACCACTCTGGAAAAGGCAAGCATATCACCATTTTCATTTCACAGGGATGGTATCAGAATATGCCCAAGACTGACACAGAACAACACATAAAAGCAGGTATTTTTGTGAAACAAAGGCACATCTTGGATTTCTTCCCAGTGTAGCTTACTTTTGGACAAAGCATCATGGCTATGGGTTGTATCTTGTCTTTATTGCATGTTAATGGTGTGGCCTTAGGCAAAATATTTAAAAAGATAAAATATTTTGTTTCTTTCCAAACTTCAGTGTGGGGAAAAAAGAGAGAAAATATTCTGAATGTACCCTATAAGTGATAAAGCACTATAAAAAATGTAAGTTATTCTTATTATGATGTTTCCTTATCATTTTAAAAATACCTGTTGAGTACTAATTATGTTCCAGGTACAGTTGTAGGCACTAGGCATATAGCAGTTAGTAAGATAGTCCCCATCAGAGACTTGAAAAGAGCCCTAATTTAATAGCATGGACAAGAATCTCACTTGGCATAAATTGGAATGGATCAATAGGACATCAAGTACCCAGGTGTTCAGGAACAACTATGTTTAAAAAATTTTAGAATCTGACTCATTTGTCCATCCATTCAAGCACATTGAGTACTCACTATGCACCAAGCAGGTGTTGATACACAAAAATAAACCACTTAGAAATGTGTAAATTTTACAATCTAATAAGACCAACAATGAAGGAGGCAATTACAACAGAGTCTAACAGGTGACTTGATAGGGAATGTACAATTTATAATGCAAGCCCTTAGCAGGAAAAACTAAGCCAGTTATGGCAATAAAATAAAGCTCTTAGGAATAAGTAACATTTAATATCTGTGGAATAATTATGCAAATATAAAAATAAATTAGAGAGAGATCCAAGATGGCTGATCACTAGCAGCTCGGGATTGTAGCTCCCAGTGAAAACGCAGAGAACGAGAGGACACCACACTTTCAGACAAATTTTTGTTGCTCACAGACCAGGAGATTCCTAGCGGAGAAGCTCCTTGGGTTGCCAGCGCGACCCTTGTGGCTGGCGCGGCGGTTCTTGGTGCAGAGTCAGAAAAGCGCCATCAATCTTAACGCCGCTGTTTTGGCTGGTGAAGTGGGTTGCTCAGATTCCAGTGCTGGGAATCAACAAGTTGGACGTCCACTCAGAAACCAAATTAGAAAGTCGGTAATTACAAAGACAACAGATGGATAAATTTATAACGAAGGGAAGAAACCAGCCTAAAAAGGCTGAAAATACCCAAAATCAAATGCCTCTCCCTCTACAGGGGATCACAGTTCCTCATCAGCAATGGAACAAGGCCTGATGAAGAACGAGTGTGTTCCATTAACAGACGCAGGCTTCAAAAGGTGGGTGATAAGAAACTTCTGTGAGCTAAAAGAACTCGTTCTAACCCGATGCAAAGAAACTAAGAACTTTGAAAAAAAGGTTTGACGAAATGCTAATGAGGATAGACAATTTAGAGAGGAATATAAGTGAATTAATGGAGCTGAAAAACACAGCACGAGAACCTTGCGAAGTATGCACAAGTTTTAACGGCTGAATTGATCAAGCAGAAGAAAGGATATCAGAGGTCGAAGACCAACTTAATGAAATAAAACAAAAAGACAAGATTAGAGAAAAAAAGATAAAAAGGAATGACCAAAGTCTCCAAGAAATATGGGACTATGTAAAAAGACCTAATCTACGTTTGATAGGTGTACCTGAATGTGACGAAGAGAATGAATCCAAGTTGGAAAATACTCTTCAGGATATTATTCAGGAAAACTTTCCCAACCTAGCAAGGCAGGACAATATTCAACTCCAGGTAATACAGAGAGCACCACAAAGATATTCCTCAAGAAGACCAACCTCAAGGCACATAATCGTCAGATTTACCAGGGTTGAAATGAAGGAGGAAATACTAAAAGCAGCCAGAGAGAAAGGTCCGGCTACCCACAAAGGGAAGCCTATCAGACTCACAGCAGATCTCTCAGCAGAAGCCCTACAAGCCAGAAGAGAGTGGGGGCCGATATTCAACATCCTTAAAGAAAAGAACTTTCAACCCAGAATTTCATATCCTGCCAAACTAAGCTTCATAAGCGAAGGAAAAATAAAATATTTTGTGAACAAGCAAATACTCAGAGATTTCATCACCACCAGGCCTGCTTTACAAGCGCTTTTGAAAGAACCACTACACATAGAAAGGAACAACCAATATCAGCCTTTCCAAAAATATACCAAAAAGAGCATCAACATAATGAAGAATTTACATCAACTAATGGGCAAAACAGCCAGCTAACATCAAATGGCAGTATTAAATTCACATGTTATTGTTAATCCTAAATTTAAATTGACTAAATCCCCCAATCAAAAGACACAACCAAAACCCATCGGTATACTGCATCCAAATCCATCTCACATGCAAGGATACACAAAGACTCAAAACAAAGGGATGGAGAAAGATCTACCAACCAAATGGAGAGCAAAAATAAATAAATAAATAAAAAGGAGGAGTTGCAATTCTCACCTCTGATAAAATAGACTTTAAAGCAACAAAGATTAAAAGAGGCAAAGAAGGACATTACATAACGGTAAAAGGATCAATGCAACAAGAAGAGCTAATGATCCTAAATATATACACACCCAGTACAGGAACACCCAGGTACATAAGACTTATAAAGAGACTTAGACTCCCACACAATAATAGTGGGAAACTTCAACATCAATATTAGACAGATCAACGAGACAGAAAATTAACAAGGATATCCAGGACTTGAACTCAGATCCGGAACAAGTAAACTTAATAAACATTTACAGAACTCTCCACTTTAAATACACAAAATATACACTCTTATTAGCACCACATCACGCCTACTTACAGGTTTAAATGAAATATTGGTTGGCTGCTTGTTATCTTCTTCCCTCATTTTTTCCTGTCTCCATTATTAAGCACAATTATTGGTATAAAAGAGGTTTTCAATACCCATTTTTAGACTGCATTCTAGCCTGGGCAATAAAGCAACACTTCCGTTCTCTCTCCCTCTTCCTTTTCATCTTTCTTCCTCTCCATTCTTTTTTAAAAATATTATTTATTTATTTTTCTTTCTCTCTTTTTTTTCTTTCAAAAAAAATAAATAAATAAATTAGAGGGGGGTAATGGTGGAGATAGTTATTCCAATATAAAGTGAACATATGAAGGCCCAAATCATAGCATCATGTTTTCAAAACCTCCATCTTCATCCAAACTTCATTTTAAAAGGTAAGAGTTTAGCATTGTATTTCAAAATGAGTATCAACCCAGGAAATCTCTTGGCTCAGTGCCTAAGCTTCCAAAGTTCACAATATATGCAAAAGCTCAGCTTGTAGCTTATTGCGTTTGCCACGAAAATCTGGGGTTAGGGACAGAGAAAGAAAAAGGTTACCAATGGTCTCAGCCATGTATTCCATGGTGGCTTCCCCACCATGTGTGGGGAAGGTGCTTGGTGATACATGGGTTATGAAACTTAACAAGGATTAGCACTTTGAAATAAAGACCTATGGAAATAGAAGTTAGAAGGAGGGATTTCTTCCCTGACAGAATTCCATGCTGGAAAGGAAAAAGAAAACTTACTGTGTCCATCATCTGCCAATGAAAAGTGTATAATCTCCAGGGGATGTAGAAAAGGGGAGCTGATCAACTGCTCCCAATGCCAGAAGAATGAGCCATTGCCACACACATAGTCACACAGACTTAACTCTAAGGAACTCAGTGTGCTTTTTACCCTTTGATTCATTTCCACAGCTAACTAGGACACAAATTACTTGGTGCTTTTTATTTATTATAAGAAGGAGAAACTGATGGCAGGCAGCAAGGTAGTAAAGAACTTGTCCAAATGCCTTCCAGCAAGACAGCAGAGGACCGCAAAGCCAAGGGAGGATCGCTTGAAGCCAGGAGTTCAGGACCAGCCTATGCAACACAGCAAGATCCTGTCTCTACAAAAAATTTTAAAAATTAGTTGGGTGTGGTGGCACATGCCTGTAGTCTTAGCTATTGGGGAGGCTTAGGCAGGACAATCACCTGAGCACAGGAGTTCAAGGCTATGTGAGCTATGATCACACCACTGTACTTCAGCCTGGGTGACAGAGCAAGACTCTATTTCTAAAAAAATATTTTTTTAAGACAGCAGAGGAGCCCTGAATTACTCTGTGCTATCTCAGAGTTCCTCTTGCTGAATCTACCAGCACCATCTTAACTGTGGCCATAAAATGACTCCATCTCTGGAGTTACAGCAACTGGTTCTCACCTGGATGACATTTTCAGCATTTGGCACTTGCTCAAAGAGTTGTCCAGAACCAACTGGGCCTGAGCTAGGAGCATATGGATTGTATCAGGAGGCTCATCAAGATCATGACACAAGAGTTTTGCAACTACTATATCTTTTGCAATTTCCTCCTTGAGTGTGTGCCTGTTTAATTTTTTAAGAAGAAAAATCCCTTTAGATGGATATTATTTTTAAATATAATGCATTTTCCATGGGTAATGCATGCACGTAGATGCCCTGTTTATCCTGGAGCAGACGTATCAACTTTGGAGTACCATCTAGGAAGCCATTTCCCAAAAGGGTCTATGAATTTGGTAAGACTGTTTTAATTTTCTAGGATTATGTATTTTTTGAACCCAGCTGGGCAGTTGTTTGAGATGAGCAGTTGATCAAGAACGTCGCCTCAGTGGAGAAGTCTTGAGTGGGAATCAGATAATTCTCTGGGATTTTTCCAACCTGGAACATCTGGATGGTGTGGTCAAGAGAGGTAATCCTTACCATTCTGTAGTCACAGTGGATTTATAACTGTGGAAGAATAAATGTTTATTCTTCACCGCAATCCTGCAGGGTAAGTATTATTATTATCCCATTTTATAAAGAAAAAACTGAAAACCCAAAGGCTTAAGTAAATTACCAAAGATCACACAGCTGAAAAGGGATAGAACCAGGTCTGTGGTTCCAGAATTCAAGCTTTTACCATGTACTTTCAGATTCGGGAAACCCAACTTGCAGTAATAAATAGTCATATAGTTTGGATGTTTGGACCCTCCAAATCTCATTTTGAAATATTATTCCCAATGTTGGGAGATGGGGCCTGGTGGGAGGTGTTTGGGTCATAAAGGTGGATCCTTCATGCACCGTGGGATTGGTGCCACCCATCCAGAGCCAGTTCTCACTCTGGTAGTTCATAGGAGAGCTAGCTGTTTGAAAGGGTGTGACACCTTCACCCCTTTCTTGCTATATGATATACTGGCTTTCCCTTTGCCTTCAGCCATGAGTGAAACCTTCCTAGGCCTCACTCAAAGCCAAGCAGGTGCTGGTACCATGCTTTTTGAACAGGCCTGCAGATCCATGAGCTTATTAAACCTTTTCTTTTACATAACCTAGTCTCAGGTATTCTTTTACAGTGACATAAAATGGACTAACACAAACAGGCCCAACAGGTCATTTCTGAGAACAATGACCTGAGGCTGAACAAGAGTCAGTTTGATGATTAACCACATGGCCAGTTGGGCCAATAAATATGGCAATCTTTCTGCTCTCTACCCACTCCGAATACTTGCCCCTGCCCACTCATCTCAGCTCACCTAATGAGGTACCGATCACAGAAAGGTGAGTTGTCATTAATGCCATGGATATAGGCAGTTACTAGAATTGCTGCACACCGCTGGTCACAGTCACAAGCCTTAATGGAGAAGGACTGGACACTTGCAAACCCAGCTCTCTCCACATCAAGGCATGTAGTAGTAACCACAGTACCATGCTCTGTAACAAAACAGCACATCTTGCTACAATCTGGCCCATGTTGTCATTTTGAAAATTACTTTATTACATATGTAGCAATGCAAAAGCTAAGGTGAAAATTATACCCCATTCGTTAGAATTAAGAAATAGATTCAGGTCAGGTGTAGTGGCTCACGCCTGTAATCCTGGCGCTTTGGAAGGCTCAGGTGGGGAGATCAGTTGATGCCAGAAGCTTGAGACAAGCTTGGGCAGAATAGTGAGATCAATCTCTTCAAAAATAAAAATTACAAGTTAGCCATGTGTAGGTGGGTTGATCACTTGTGCCCAGTTCAAGACTACAGTGAGCTGTGATCACACAACTGCACTCCAGCCTGAGCCACAGAGCAAGACACTATTGGAAAGAAAGAAAGAAAGAGAAAAGAAGAAAAGAAAGAAAGAAAGAAAGAAAGAAAGAAAGAAAGAAAGAAAGAAAGAAAGAAAGAAGGAAGGAAGGAAGGAAGGAAGGAAGGAGAAAAAAAAGAAAGAAAGAAAGAAGGAAGGAAGGAGGGAAGGAAAAGAAAGAAAAAGAAAGAAAGAACGAAAGAAGGAAAGAGAGAGAGAGAAAGAGAGAAAGAAAGAGAGAGAGAGAGAGGGAGGGAGGGAGGGAGGAAGGAAGGAAGGAAGGAAGGAAGGAGAGAGGGAGAGAGAAAGAGAAAGAGAGAAAGAAAGAAAGAAAAGAAGGAAGGGAGGGAGGGAGGGAAAAAGAAACTGATTCAAAATACAGGCACAATTTTAATTGTTTATCACCACAGTACACTAATTAATCATATTATGTTAGCTGGTAATAAAAAACAAAATTATTTTTGGCTTAGGGGAACACAAAAGACTTTTCAGAAGAGAAGGCCCTTATTTTGGGACTTGACATATGTAGGATAAGAAAATGGTGGTGAATGGGAGATCATTCCCAGTAGAGAACATGATAAATGAAAACATGAACCATAACTCACTGTGCTTCTTTCCACACATCCATCCACTTATTCACTCGACAAACATTTATTGAGTGCCAACTATATGCCAGGAATTGTGCTAAATTCTGTATATGCCACAATGAAGTGCAATCACTGCATTTATCAAATTTATAATCTGGGCTGGGAGACAAACACTAAGCAAGTGTGGAAAATCAAAACAAAAAATTCAAATAGACATTAAGGAAATGAAAACTGTAATGTGATTTTTTAAAACAAGGTCTAATGGTCAGATCCTGAAAAACACAAGAGCAGATGTCCCAAGGCAGGCAGCCTAGTTGTTTGCTTTCAGTATAATGGACCCCAAGGGGACCATGGAACAGGATGAGATTAGAGAAAGACAACAAGGGCCAGAGAAAATATCTTGGGAGTGAGGTAAGAAATTTGGATTATATTCCTAATGCAAAGGAAAATCCCAGGAGGATTTTTCACAGGGGAGGAATATGATCCAATTTGACTTAAAAAAAAATTATTCTAGCTGCTCTGTGGAGATTCTTGGAGGAGGTAAGGGTGAAAGAAGCAGCCCAGTTAAGAGAAATGTGCACTAATTCAGGTAAGAGGGGATGGTGGCTGTCATATATGGGGGTTCCTCTAGAAACAGAATCTGAGATGGGGATTCGAGTGCAGGCAGTTTATTTGGGAGGTGATCAGAGCTATGTGGCATAAAGAAAGTGAGACAGGGAAGGAAAACTCCCAATAAAAAGTACATCATCAAACAAGTCACTACTGTGGGAAGCTAGAACTTAATATTACTGGGATCCCTGGAAACCAGTGTAGAATGCACACTCAAAATTGTCTCACAACAGAGGCAAAGAACTAGAGTGCACCAGTTCCCTTCATTCATTGACTGAGAACTCCTAGCAGGTAGGATTTCTCCAACACCTCTTGGGGGATGGGGCAGGGCAGACTAGATGTCAGACCCAAATAATACCTCAAGCAAAGAAATTAGCAGGTGGAAATTGAGCTTGCTGCACTGAATTGTTAAGGCCTGAGGAGGTATGAGTAGGATATTGACAGCATCTGCTACAACGGCTTAAACTGGCCTGTGTGCTAAGATGACCATCTTTCTTCTTTACTCAGCTCTAGAGGAAGCCTTAAATGCCACACAAACTGATCCTCTCCCAGCTCCAGCCACAGCTGATTGGATGAGGAATGAATGAGTGACTCTAGAAAGTCCAATCTGATTCTCTCTCATAAAAAAAAAAAAAAAAAAAAAAAAAAAAAAAAAAAAAAAAAAAAAAAAAAAAAAAAAAAAAAAAAAAAAAAAATCAAATTGGACCTGAAGCATAGAGTTAGTTAGATCTGAGAAGATATGCTAGAAGGGTATATTAAGTGAAGGGCTAGGACTGCCTCTTTGCAGCAAATGAAGAGCCACATGTTAGCTCATGAGTGAACAAAGAATTGGGTCTCGCAGAGAGTTATTCAACAGATGTTTATGAAGCATCTACTATGTGCTTCATGTTGAGGTTCTGAAAATGAAGACGACTGTTATGTATCTCCAAGAAACTCTGTGGAGGAGATACAAAGACCAACAGAATACAGTAATAGCATACAGTAGGATGTATAATTTGCCAAGGGCATTTCTCAACCTACCTTTGTCAACTGCAAAGTAATCATTCCTTGGATCAAGTTCAAAGGTTAAATCCCCCAGGTTATCATCATCTGTTGCCTGGCATACTCCAATCCTCTTCCCAATAGGAATTTCTTCATCCAATGTGATGTCAAATTTATTGTGCCGAGTTGAGTTTATAGAAGTCACACTCGAGACAGCATTTTCAATATTTAATAAACTTGTCTAAAAAGGAAAGATTATGAGAGTGGCATTTGCTTGCTGTGTATTATTTTCCACACCTTGTGAAGGCAAGAGTAGGAGGTTGGAGATTGCAATGATGAGAGTGAAAATGGTGGCCATGAGCTTAACAACCAACCCATTTATTGAGCACTTACCTACAGTTTAGACAGACTCCTAAGCATTTTTTAAGAGTTATTGCATTTATTCCTCCCAGTAACCCTAGGAAGTAGGGCCATTTTTTGCCCCCATTTTATAGACACGGAAATGGAAATTGTAAGACATTAGGGTAAGTTTTAGAAATAAGTATCAAGGTGGCTGACAGAGGATTTGACCCGGAGCCTATCTGGCTCTAGAGCCTATATGCTTAATCGCTGTGCTCTTATCCTTCCGTAAGAACCAGCTTCTTACTGGTTCTTATGCTGAATCACTGTTGACCCTCAATATGGTTTTTAAAATTTCTTCATGATAATATTAGCCAGAATCTCCTTTGAGGGTAGAGAGAGATAATCCAGCAGAAGTCAGACACTAAGAACATATTGCACTAACATCACCTCATTCCATTGCAATTTCAATACACTTTATACTTTAAAACCATTTTGCTTTCAGTTTTTAAGGAAACCCTTTTTAAAAAACCTTACATCTTAAAGTGTTGTTTACATCTCACTTGCTTATTTTCCTTCTCAGAAAATAACAAGCACAGAAAACAAAAAAAATTAATAATGAATTTTCAAAACATTTTCAAATTCAATTTTCAAGGTCAAACTAAAATATTATGTTTTATGATCTTACCTGCAGCTAAGAATGGGGTCCTTATTGTTTACATTGATGAGAAAAATCTTTAGATTTCCAGTTGTAAACAGTCCTCCAGGATCAACCACTTTAATAACCAGTGAAAAACTGAAAACGCAGCCACAAGAAAGACAGCTGAGATTTTATAGAAACTAACAGGCTTTCACAGGAGTAGAATCTGATCAGCTAAAACAATCGATTCATCTAGTTAAAATGTCAATCATGCCAGTTATTTTAACGGTTAGAAATGGCTAATATTTTGTTAAGGACCATATCAGTCAAGTCAGTTGAAAGGGCAGGCAGGAACTTAGAAAAGTCTGTTAATCTCCATAAACAATAAAAAGGCAAAGGGAAATCCTTAGCGTGTTATAGCAAACAGAGCTTATGGCTATGGGTTCTTACCTTCCAAACACTGACATTTCAATTTTGAAAACAGACAAATGCAAAGGAGAAGGTGTTAAGAACATTTCAAAACAATTTAATAACTATGAGGAAATACCGGGACAGTTAGATGACTAATGGGTTTTTATTTTAACAGAGATATGTAGGGGTTTGAGACATAAAAGTGCTTGAAATGATGAAACTGAATGTCTCCTAATGGAAAGACAAATGTTCACATCCATAAAGTATGCTCTTGTGTGGTCAGCTCTCCCAATTGGCCCAGGACTGCCCGGGTCCAGAGATTTAGCACTGTAAATCTCCCATCCCAGAAGACTCCTCTGTTCCAGCCAAACTGAGAGAGTTGGTTTACTCCTTCAGAAAAATAAAAAATCTGCTTGAAATGTCCAACTAAGACCAAACTGATTGTTTTTTCTTCTATTTGTCCTAAAAATTAACCCAGTCTTCAATATCGCTCTTATTTCATCATTTTTCCTACAAGAAGATAATCTATGAGATACTCTTGATAAAAACTACAAGTCAATCACTGTTAAAGATAAAGGCATTTAAAAATAATTCTGGGAAGTCTTAACTACAAGAATAGAAAGAATAAGGTGTGGACAAGATCTACAGCACTAACGAATTCAAGTTACATCAGGTCTAGCTGAATGCTGGAGAGTTGATGACAGCAAGGAAGGAAGAAAGCAGTGAGCCTTTCTAACACTTTCATCAGGATTTGAACAGTGACTTCATGGCCTCTATATCTCTTTTGAAAGGAGAGAATTGATAAAAATCAATGAAGCATTTCAAAATTTCCTTGACTCTCAATTAAAGACCTGCTCAGTGACCTTAGAAGCTCTGCAGCTAAGAAGAAAATTAAGGAATAGTGTGCTCTCTGTAAAACTTTAATGAGAACCCATTGCACAGCTTTAGTGGAATACTTATTTATTCATATTCTGCAAACAGAGGTTACGTTATCCCATGTCAGCTCCTCTAATTTAAACAATACTGAGAAAAAAGGAAAGATTTATATCTTGCATGTGCATAATCACTCTTCCATGAGGTATACAAGGCCAAAAAGAAAAGAAAAGAAAAAAACCATAATGCAAGCCGGGCACGGTGGCTCAAGCCTGTAATCCCAGTACTTTGGGAGGCCGAGGTGGGTGGATCATGAGGTCAAGAGATCGAGACCATCCTGGTCAACATGGTGAAACCCCGTCTCTACTAAAAATACAAAAAACTAGCTGGGCATGGTGGTGCGTGCCTGTAATCCCAGCTACTCAGGAGGCTGAGGCGGGAGAATTGCCTGAACCCGAGATCGCGCCATTACACTCCAGCCTGGGTAACATGAGTGAAACTCCGTCTCAAAAAAAAAAAAAATGCATAACATCCATTATTCCCAGAGCGATTTATAAAATAATCTAAATAATTGTTTGTCATGGAGCAGAGCAGTGGGATTAAAGGAAAATGGATAAAGATTTTGGCAATTTCTACTCAAAAATTATATAAAGATAATGCAAATTTAGGCATACTCTTCAGCTGACTTGAAGAAGTTGTCAGAAGAAAGTATATCCCTTTTTCTGGCCGGGCGTGGTGGCTCACACCTATTAACCCAGCACTTTGGATCACCTAAGATCAGGAATTAGAGAGACCAGCCTAGCCAACATGACAAAACCCCATCTCTACTAAAAATACAAAAATTAGCTGGACGTGGTGGTGCATGCCAGTAATCTCTCAGCTACTCAGGAGGCTGAGGCAGGTGAATCACTTGAATCCAGGAAGCTGAAGTTCCAGTAAGCCAAATTCGCACCGCTGCACTCCAGCCTGGGCAACAAAGTGAGATTCCATCTCAAAAAAAAGAAAAGAAAAGAAAAGAAAAGAAGAAAAGAAAAGAAAAGAAAAGAAAAGGAGAAAATAACAGAACAGAACAGAACAGAAGAGAACAGAACAGAACAGAATATCTCGGTTTTGAACTCCAAATCTGTTTCAATGAAAGGTAATCTCATATGATGTGTGGGCAGCTAGTCTCCACTGGACTTCTCTTCTAAAGATGCTAACACTTAGGATATATCCCATCCTCAACTTTCATAATAGAAAATAATCTCTTATCAGATTCAAGAGCAATATGGTTTAAAGGTCCATTTCCTTTTCCTATGAAGCACATTGACACAAAACATATGACTGAAAAGGGTGGTCACAAAAATCCCTATAAAAATAAAAATAATAACTTGAACCACTGGTTACCCCCTTGGCAGATGTGAAAAATGTAAGAAGAAAACATCGGTGTATTAGCTTTTTAAAGATACTGTATTACACTGAATTAATTCTGTGTCACAGGTATCCAGAGAGGAGTGCCCACCTACTTCCACAACAGGATGCAAATGCCACCCCCAAAATAATCCTGGCTTCACTCCGAGAAAAGGGTGAGGCAGAAAGGAGCTGCAACAGCCAAGTCTGGCATGAACCAGCTACCATGCAACTATAGGTTAAGCGATGATTTCATTAAAAACAAACAAACAAACAAAAAGATGACAAAAGCATCTTAATTTGGGGAGCACATTAAGAGCAGATGAGGGAAAATATTCATGAAAAAGGAAATATGAACCAAAGAACTGTCATTTCAAATGAAAACCCAGTAGCAGTATTTACCTTCTAGATTCACTTTCAAAATCAAAAACTGCTGCTGTGGAAATTGTTCCAATGCCATCGATTGTGAAGCCAGAGCCCTCCAGGGAAATGAAGTACTGTTTATTGGACAGTAAAGAGAAAGCAAAATATTGCAGATACATCAACTACTTCCCTGGCAAGATTCCACGCCTCTCTAAAAACCAGGCCTGAAATTTCTTTGTGCTCTGAGCCCATCCCCACTCCCCGACCACCCCCATATATGATAAATGCTCAGTAAATGCTTGTCATTGATGATGATGATGATGATGAAATTATATTCCATTCAACCAATTTCAAGTTTCAATTCTTTCAAGTTTTTATTCTTTTTCAAGAATAGAAAAATGAATTTTCCTATTCTCTTACGTTCAGTATATTATCTAAACATTTATCACAATGTTTCACCCAATGCTAAAATTAAATAAAAAGGAGTTCACATTTAGAGAAACAGACTGACTGTTTAACGAGAACTCAGGGATAATTCAGTTTGTTTGCTTGTTGATGGAAAGGATGGGCTTTTGTGGAGAGGGAGGTCGTGGAGCTGAAGAAGAAAAAAATATGAAATACTGAGAAGTCTGTTCATCTGAATTTGTATGTGTAGGCACAGGTAATATTTTATCAAGTTGTTTTCTTAACCTCTCATTAGATTTCATTTACACTGCCTTCCAGTTATTCTGTTAAGTGCTTCAAATATGTCATCGTTTAATTCTCACAGTAACTCTATGTCATAGATACTGATATTATCCCTATCTCACACATAGAAACACCGATGCTTAGAAAATTCAAGTGGCTTGTCCCCAGTCTGAGAGCTGAGTCTTTCATCACTTTACATAGTGCCTCTCTGTTCCCCGCATTGTATCCCTAAGACAAACTTCTCAAGAAAGACAGCAGGGGAAGTCAGGGTCTCTAATCTAGGTGAGAATCAAATGACTAGGAAAAAGCCAGGGCAAAAATCCGTCAGAGAATTAATATCAGGAGTTCATTACACTGAGTGCTACGTATTTAATAATTGTGTAGACACAGAGATCATTTAATCGAGAAGATTAAGCCCATGAGAACTGCAAAGCAACCTCAAAATCTTTTGGAGAAACTAGTGACCTTTTAATTTATCGACTTTCTGATGAATCATCATGTTCCGATTCATTTTAATTCATACCATCCTTTTCCATACATATAAATAAGATGGACTTGATTTTGGCTCTTTCTTTAGAACAACGCAGAATATTAGCATTCAGGAACACAGGCAAATCCATCACA